CTCTCTCTCTCTCTCCCTCTCTCTCTCTCTCTCTCCCTCTCCCTCTCCCTCTCTCTCTCCCCCGTCAGCGGGTCGTTATCACCACACTGCTGGACATAGATACAAGGACAGAAGCATATACACTATAAGGAAGATTATTTTATTCTAGTGGCTCAATAAAATTAATTTAGTTGTCCTCAGTTTGAGAAAACATAAATGTATCTGAGTTCCCTCGCCCAAAAAAACACTGAGAGTGCCATTCACGACTGATACAACTTCTATTAGACCTATATTTGATTAAAATTCGTTTTGCTAAAACTGTACAAGCTGATGGATTACTTAGACCACTTGTGGGAAAGTGTTGGGGGGGGGGGACCCTCTCCCTCTCTCTCTCTCTCTCTCCCTCTCCCTCTCCCTCTCTCTCTCCCCCGTCAGCGGGTCGTTATCACCACACTGCTGGACATAGATACAAGGACAGAAGCATATACACTATAAGGAAGATTATTTTATTCTAGTGGCTCAATAAAATTAATTTAGTTGTCCTCAGTTTGAGAAAACATAAATGTATCTGAGTTCCCTCGCCCTGACGAACGCCACAAGTGTTTTCGCTCTGAGGAGAAACGGATTAACGCGAATGAACGGACGAACGGCTAGTTCAGTGATGGGCTCTGTAACGAGATTACGGTCTACACTACTGTTAATTCTCAGTTTCAGCAGACTCTATGTGTACCCCCTGTACCTCTGAGAGAAAGACTCCTTTATTCCACCAGCCATCTCCCTGACGTCACTTCAAGCGGTCGAGCTCATGTCCTTATTTGGTACCGAATCGACCCCTGCATGAACAGGGTGGGGATATTGATTCATCCCAGTGCTTCGAATCTTTTGAATTCGTGCACCAAAAAGATTCGTTCAAATTCTTTCACTGGTTCGTCCAGTCAGTGGACCTTTACATCAGATAACGAGTTAATGAAAAACAAACAAAAAAACACTGAGAGTGCCATTCACGACTGATACAACTTCTATTAGACCTATATTTGATTAAAATTCGTTTCTAAATTGTTTATTTGTCATTAGCCATTTACGCCAGTAGGTGGCGTGTTAGGAGTAAATCGATAATTCACTCATAACTGTAGGCCTAATTCCCGAATCACGACCGAAACCTTCTTAAAATGCTTGTCTATATTGTGTATCATCATCAGTCATTCTTACATAGAAAAATATTACTCACTGCATTTAAGTGCACGAGAATAAGTCGTTCACTTAGAAGATTCGTTCAAAAACCCGGCAATACTTTTGCTTATTAGGCGGCTTCCGTTTTGCTAAAACTGTACAAGCTGATGGATTACTTAGACCACTTGTGGGAAAGTGTTGGGGGGGGGGGACCCCACATAATTATTAAATATTAATTAATAGATAGGCTATGCATGTTTCCCAGTATTAGTCCTGCGGGCTAGACATTAGTCACGTTTGGTCTTTTGCATTAAATAAGATTTAGATACAAATCAAAGGTTAAGATTCATTAACATTTTTTCCCACAAGGCTTTTTAGCAATTTCTTATTGATATACAATTAAATAATCTAGCTAGAAATAAAGCAAATGGCACCCCCTACTGTGTACAAATCCAAATAGAAGTACCACACACACATAACAGATATTACAGTCATTTAATATGATTGCCAAAATGCAGTCACATTTGCTACCAGAATTTTTCTGTTTTAACATTAAAAGGCTCTATGTTTTTCTCTTCTTGGGTACAAATGATTCAAACTCAAACTACAGCAACACAATATAGAACGCATAATTTTTCCTTCATGCATCAGATCTTCCAGTTTCAATAGATAAGGGTCGTTTATGTCTCATGGCACTAAATTAGCTAGTTCAAAAATAGTACAGCCTAGCAGTTCAAAGCTTTGTTACTTGTTAATTACTCACTTTTATTTTTGCATTGCACTCATTGCACCCTCCCTGGTCTCTCTCCTTCCCTCCCTCACACACACACACACACACATACATACACACTCAGTTCCTGTGGTTTCCCTATTTAGATGCAGATGTACATTTATATGAAATACACACCATAAAATCACACATAATTACCCATGTCTTTGCTATTATATTCAAAAGAGAAGTGCCTGTCTGTGTCCTTTGAGATGTGTGAAGCGGATAGTGATTTTTCGGTTTCACAGTGCCACTGTAGATTGCTATTATCATCAACCCTAAATGTGCTCTTACGGTCTTAACTTGGCCAGTTAGTCTCATTTCATCTGCATTCATCAGACAACAACCACATATTTATACCTTTTCACTCCCTCTCTTTGATTTCATTGTGTACCTAAAGAAATTATAGCTTATGTTGAACTACTATGGATTTATAATACATAATATAAAACAAATTTGATTTGGCTTGCAAACATTTTTATTTTCTAGAACAAAACCACAAATCAGTGGCAAACATTTCAAATATTTTTGTTCTTTCCCTTTTACTTTAAATCCCTTTTTTGTTACATTCAGAGAGGAATACTCTGGCAACACTCAAAATCACAGGCAGCAAATGGCTTCTGTCCATTTTAAGAGACACTGATTTGGATTTACAGAACATTCTTACAAGACAAAAACATGAACATTGTTCCCTTTGTCAAAGATTTAAATGTGATACAAATGCCAGAGTCACATCAAAAACAAAAACATTTCTCCCATAATGCTCCACTCCAGGAGGAAGCACAATTAGAACGGCCGAACAACAGTTGTTCCCTCAGGGAAAAAAAATGACTCTTTAAACAGTGAAGTTATTTCAGGTGAAGAGTGGAAATAACTGAATGAACACACATGATTTGACAGATGCAAAGAAAACAATATGAATCTTGATCACAAACCTACGCCAGTCTCCCTCTCCCTCTCCCTCTCTCTCTCCCTCTCCCTCCCTCTCTCTCTCTCTCCTACTTACACTGGTTCCACAGCGGTGAGGAATTTTATCTCTGAAAAGTCCATATTTTGCACGTGAATCTTATTAGATTTTCACTTTGGACCTACAATCACGCAGTTAATAATATCACTGAGCAATAATTCAAGAGTACCACAAGCATTCTGTGCAATATTTCAGAAACTGTCATTATTTTCCTTCCATTAAAAAAAAAAACTAACAAACAAAAAAGGAGATTAGCATGGTTTCTTATGGATTTACCAATAGATGGTTTCAAAAAGCTCTTTCAATGCATTATACATTCTTCTTAGTATAGGCTGTACTGTGAATATACTACAAATCTAACATAAATGTAAACAAATTAAAGACCAGGTAACACTGATTTACTGTGAATGCTTCTATTGATATACACGGTCAGGTTGAAAAAGAAGAACAACAAAAAAACTTTACAGAATGATTAAAAAAAGCAATTGCTGGTCAAAAACAAGTATTTGAAAAATCAGAAATGTATCAACAGTAGCCCTTGAGTTTAATTTATGACTGAGCTATGAGTAAAGGATAAGTACAAACATACATACTTACGCACACAAACCTGAAAAACACCTGCCAGATACATAACGTTTGCACGAACGAAGGAAACATATCCCATTATACTGTACATGCCAACATCAAACTTTCAACAGACTAGAAAAGTACCTAATGCAGCTTAAATCTGATGTCTGTGCTACACGTAAAATGTAAATACTGATTAAACAGATTTTGCTAAACAAATCAGTGGAATTTTATGGATAATATTTCCAACTCTATTCCTTCAGAAAAGACTTCATTTACACCAAAAATGACTGACATCTGTTAGAGATGACTATTACACGTTCTGACAAATCAGACCACAGATTAAACAATAAAAACAAATGATGTAAAAAAAGAAGCAAAACAATAAAAAAGTAAACTGATAATGCCTTTTAAAAGATTAACATAAAACATGAGAACATTATGAAACTATAAAATAAAATAGATTTAAAATACGACAATACCACAATGACCAATGAGTAATTAAACTGAACATGAATATAACACTCTGGTAAACAACATGAGCATCAGCTGGTTGTGATTACCAAGCAGATGACCTTTGTGTGTGATCTGGAAATACCTGCTAAATAAGTGCACGTGTTTGGCTCTGACACTGGACAGTCCGATGTTACAAAAGACAGACACTGCATACAACCTACCGGCAAAAACAGCAGAGTTTACAGATTAAAGTGCTAGACACCAATACTGAAGCGCTCTTGCTAACAGTACGGTTAGTTTTTAACTCTGTGCTTTGCCTGTTCACCCAGAGTAAATGCAAGACAACATTAATGGCACATTCGCTTAACAATAATGAATAAATTCCCTTCCATATATTTTAGGCACAAAAAGCAAACTTAATAACAAACATCTCCCCACATTTTAGATGTGAGAGAATCTGCATCACTTTATGCCTTTCTGTATCAATCGGTCCAGTCCAGTATGAAGTGGTTTGTGGTCCACATTCCCACAGGTAAGAGATCACCAGCGACCACTGATGCTCGCCATGTCCGAGTGGAACTGGCGCGACAGACGACCACTGGCCCCGCCTTCTAGGAAGGAGGAGCAAATGTTGGGCGTCTCAAAGAGCTTCCTCCTGCTCTTATTCAGCTCTGAGGAGACATTCAAATATCATCAGTAATCCGTTAAATAAACACATGACCTTTGTTCCTAAACCTAATGAGCTGCCTCTCTCCCTACATATAGGCAGCTGTATTCTAAGGCAGCATCTTAACTAAAGTGTAAATTTATAAGTTACTTATTTGAAACACTCTACATGGGTAGATACTCTATTAACCGTCACCAACACACATCACACACAAGTAAATGATGACAGCATTTTTAAGCGATGTCTAGGTAGGCTGCTCACTATGTTCGGAGTAAAGATACTATTTAGCAGGGATCCTCAAATCTGGCCCACGAGATCCACTTTCTTGCAGAGTTAATCAAACCCTAATCAAACACACCTGAGCAAGCTAATCAATGTCTTCGGGATCATTAGAAAATCAGGGTAGGAGCTAAACTGCTATATAGTATTCCAATTTTATATAGACTGTGAATCTATGAAAGGTCATCTTGGAAGAAATTGCTTACTTTACAAAGCAGTGACATCACATCCTATTCTTCCCACATCCTTTATTTTGGTTTATCTTTTTTTCCTGTTGATCTGTAGCTTAGATATAAACACAAAGCTTACTGACCTGAGATCGCCAGTAACATTTTCCGGCGAGCACCAAATGTTGTGATTCCCAGTTCCCTTAGGTCTGGATCCGTTAGTGTACCAAATGTTTGCAGATCAATCTATTAGACCATAACACAGACATACTCATATAAATTAACATTTACAAAACCCACAAATAAATCCACTAATCCACATTTTTCCAATTACAGTGCTTGCAAGGTGAACTAGCAAAGCGTCTTAATTTATTTCCTTACTTATAGATTTAAAATGTTTATGCAATTAAAACAATTACTCAAAATAATCAAGGCATGTTTTCCACACTGCTTGTACTAAATGAACACAAGAAAGAATAATATTTAATCATTTTATTTTAATGCACCAATATGACACTATGTAAATATCAATATCTGCCTAAATATATATTTTACCAAAATATTTTAATATAAAAAATGAACACTTCTTGCAGAGTTAATCAAACCCTAATCAAACACACCTGAGCAAGCTAATCAATGTCTTCGGGATCATTAGAAAATCAGGGTAGGAGCTAAACTGCTATATAGTATTCCAATTTTATATAGACTGTGAATCTATGAAAGGTCATCTTGGAAGAAATTGCTTACTTTACAAAGCAGTGACATCACATCCTATTCTTCCCACATCCTTTATTTTGGTTTATCTTTTTTTCCTGTTGATCTGTAGCTTAGATATAAACACAAAGCTTACTGACCTGAGATCGCCAGTAACATTTTCCGGCGAGCACCAAATGTTGTGATTCCCAGTTCCCTTAGGTCTGGATCCGTTAGTGTGACAAATGTTTGCAGATCAATCTATTAGACCATAACACAGACATACTCATATAAATTAACATTTACAAAACCCACAAATAAATCCACTAATCCACATTTTTCCAATTACAGTGCTTGCAAGGTGAACTAGCAAAGCGTCTTAATTTATTTCCTTACTTATAGATTTAAAATGTTTATGCAATTAAAACAATTACTCAAAATAATCAAGGCATGTTTTCCACACTGCTTGTAATAAATGAACACAAGAAAGAATAATATTTAATCATTTTATTTTAATGCACCAATATGACACTATGTAAATATCAATATCTGCCTAAATATATATTTTACCAAAATATTTTAATATAAAAAAATGAACACTTTGTTAACATTTTTTGAGTGATGATTGCAGATGCATCCAAATCTAAATTCATTCCTCAAACAATGAATTAATGAATTACCTCCTGCTGCTGGAAGATTATTATCATCAACCCTAAATGTGCTCTTACGGTCTTAACTTGGCCAGTTAGTCTCATTTCATTTGCATTCATCAGACAACAGCCATACATCTATACCTTTTTAACTCTCTCTCTTTGATTTGATTGTGTACCAAAATAAATTGTAGTTTATGTTGAATGTCTATGGACTTATAGTAAAATATAAAGATAATTTGATATGGCTTGCAAAAACATTTTATTTTCTAGAACAAAACCACAGTGGCAAACATTTGAAATATTTTTGTACTTCCATTTTTGCTACATTCAGAGAGGAATACTCTGGCAACACTCAAAATCACAGGCAGCAAATGGCTTCTGTCCATTTTAAGAGACACTGATTTGGATTTACAGAACATTCTTACAAGACAAAAACATGAACATTGTTCCCTTTGTCAAAGATTTAAATGTGATACAAATGCCAGAGTCACATCAAAAACAAAAACATTTCTCCCATAATGCTCCACTCCAGGAGGAAGCACAATTAGAACGGCCGAACAACAGTTGTTCCCTCAGGGAAAAAAAATGACTCTTTAAACAGTGAAGTTATTTCAGGTGAAGAGTGGAAATAACTGAATGAACACACATGATTTGACAGATGCAAAGAAAACAATATGAATCTTGATCACAAACCTACGCCAGTCTCCCTCTCCCTCTCCCTCTCTCTCTCCCTCTCCCTCCCTCTCTCTCTCTCTCCTACTTACACTGGTTCCACAGCGGTGAGGAATTTTATCTCTGAAAAGTCCATATTTTGCACGTGAATCTTATTAGATTTTCACTTTGGACCTACAATCACGCAGTTAATAATATCACTGAGCAATAATTCAAGAGTACCACAAGCATTCTGTGCAATATTTCAGAAACTGTCATTATTTTCCTTCCATTAAAAAAAAAAACTAACAAACAAAAAAGGAGATTAGCATGGTTTCTTATGGATTTACCAATAGATGGTTTCAAAAAGCTCTTTCAATGCATTATACATTCTTCTTAGTATAGGCTGTACTGTGAATATACTACAAATCTAACATAAATGTAAACAAATTAAAGACCAGGTAACACTGATTTACTGTGAATGCTTCTATTGATATACACGGTCAGGTTGAAAAAGAAGAACAACAAAAAAACTTTACAGAATGATTAAAAAAAGCAATTGCTGGTCAAAAACAAGTATTTGAAAAATCAGAAATGTATCAACAGTAGCCCTTGAGTTTAATTTATGACTGAGCTATGAGTAAAGGATAAGTACAAACATACATACTTACGCACACAAACCTGAAAAACACCTGCCAGATACATAACGTTTGCACGAACGAAGGAAACATATCCCATTATACTGTACATGCCAACATCAAACTTTCAACAGACTAGAAAAGTACCTAATGCAGCTTAAATCTGATGTCTGTGCTACACGTAAAATGTAAATACTGATTAAACAGATTTTGCTAAACAAATCAGTGGAATTTTATGGATAATATTTCCAACTCTATTCCTTCAGAAAAGACTTCATTTACACCAAAAATGACTGACATCTGTTAGAGATGACTATTACACGTTCTGACAAATCAGACCACAGATTAAACAATAAAAACAAATGATGTAAAAAAAGAAGCAAAACAATAAAAAAGTAAACTGATAATGCCTTTTAAAAGATTAACATAAAACATGAGAACATTATGAAACTATAAAATAAAATAGATTTAAAATACGACAATACCACAATGACCAATGAGTAATTAAACTGAACATGAATATAACACTCTGGTAAACAACATGAGCATCAGCTGGTTGTGATTACCAAGCAGATGACCTTTGTGTGTGATCTGGAAATACCTGCTAAATAAGTGCACGTGTTTGGCTCTGACACTGGACAGTCCGATGTTACAAAAGACAGACACTGCATACAACCTACCGGCAAAAACAGCAGAGTTTACAGATTAAAGTGCTAGACACCAATACTGAAGCGCTCTTGCTAACAGTACGGTTAGTTTTTAACTCTGTGCTTTGCCTGTTCACCCAGAGTAAATGCAAGACAACATTAATGGCACATTCGCTTAACAATAATGAATAAATTCCCTTCCATATATTTTAGGCACAAAAAGCAAACTTAATAACAAACATCTCCCCACATTTTAGATGTGAGAGAATCTGCATCACTTTATGCCTTTCTGTATCAATCGGTCCAGTCCAGTATGAAGTGGTTTGTGGTCCACATTCCCACAGGTAAGAGATCACCAGCGACCACTGATGCTCGCCATGTCCGAGTGGAACTGGCGCGACAGACGACCACTGGCCCCGCCTTCTAGGAAGGAGGAGCAAATGTTGGGCGTCTCAAAGAGCTTCCTCCTGCTCTTATTCAGCTCTGAGGAGACATTCAAATATCATCAGTAATCCGTTAAATAAACACATGACCTTTGTTCCTAAACCTAATGAGCTGCCTCTCTCCCTACATATAGGCAGCTGTATTCTAAGGCAGCATCTTAACTAAAGTGTAAATTTATAAGTTACTTATTTGAAACACTCTACATGGGTAGATACTCTATTAACCGTCACCAACACACATCACACACAAGTAAATGATGACAGCATTTTTAAGCGATGTCTAGGTAGGCTGCTCACTATGTTCGGAGTAAAGATACTATATAGCAGGGATCCTCAAATCTGGCCCACGAGATCCACTTTCTTGCAGAGTTAATCAAACCCTAATCAAACACACCTGAGCAAGCTAATCAATGTCTTCGGGATCATTAGAAAATCAGGGTAGGAGCTAAACTGCTATATAGTATTCCAATTTTATATAGACTGTGAATCTATGAAAGGTCATCTTGGAAGAAATTGCTTACTTTACAAAGCAGTGACATCACATCCTATTCTTCCCACATCCTTTATTTTGGTTTATCTTTTTTTCCTGTTGATCTGTAGCTTAGATATAAACACAAAGCTTACTGACCTGAGATCGCCAGTAACATTTTCCGGCGAGCACCAAATGTTGTGATTCCCAGTTCCCTTAGGTCTGGATCCGTTAGTGTACCAAATGTTTGCAGATCAATCTATTAGACCATAACACAGACATACTCATATAAATTAACATTTACAAAACCCACAAATAAATCCACTAATCCACATTTTTCCAATTACAGTGCTTGCAAGGTGAACTAGCAAAGCGTCTTAATTTATTTCCTTACTTATAGATTTAAAATGTTTATGCAATTAAAACAATTACTCAAAATAATCAAGGCATGTTTTCCACACTGCTTGTACTAAATGAACACAAGAAAGAATAATATTTAATCATTTTATTTTAATGCACCAATATGACACTATGTAAATATCAATATCTGCCTAAATATATATTTTACCAAAATATTTTAATATAAAAAATGAACACTTTGTTAACATTTTTTGAGTGATGATTGCAGATGCATCCAAATCTAAATTCATTCCTCAAACAATGAATTAATTAATTACCTCCTGCTGCTGGAAGATGTCTGTGTATTTGCCGAGACCGAGTTTGCTAAAAAGCTCAGGGAGATCTGTTCCTTTGAAAGATGAACTGAGAGAGCAGCCATTGCTGCCAGACATAGAGATACTGTCCATATAATTACTGCTGCTGAGATACTGCTCACCTACTGACCCAAACACACAGATAAAGTTTAAGACACAACTAATCAGTAGGCAGTAAATTTATTGTTTTGTGTTTCAAAGTGCAAAATCTTTAGTCTTACAAGATTTGTTCTTGATTCTCTTTGGGCTGCTGACAGCAGGGGAAAATTCAGAATTTCCTGGCAGTCCGTTTCCATTGATGTTAACGTTCCCATTCAAATCCCCCCAATTACCGGATTTGGTGTCATTACCCAAACCCTCATGACTCCCAGAGTGTGAGACAGAGAGATGAGAGTCCTGAAACCATATACACAAAAAGCAACTTTGAAACCCTGCTTTTTCTAATCATTTTGGAAGAGAACAGCTTCATATAAACTGAACTAGATTTATGCTGCACCGGTGAGTTTGTACCTCATAAGTAGTGCTTATGCTGGGTTTATACGGCACATGGTGTGCCCTGCGCAGCTCTTTCATGCTCTCCGCTGGCATTGATTTAGAGAAACCCAACCCACTCCAGGTATTTGTGGGGGTTCGAATCTCCGTCTCAACTGGCTTCTTCAGCATGGCTATACAAAAACAACAAAATTGTTTAACCACAACCTAACTAGTGATCTTATATTCAGATGTTATTTTATGTATATTTTCACATTAGGATGTTAAATTAAGAGATCAAGTCTATGCTCACCTTTAGTGGCCAGTAGCTTCTTTTTCTCATAGTCAAAAGCCTGAAAAACATTGATAAACAATGACAGTGTGAATATGTGTGAAAATGTTTTAGTTTGTGTACACTTGTATGTGAGTGCAACGTGTGTGTATGTGTATATAAACCTGCATATGTGGTGCAAGTCGTCTTTCTGCAGCTCTCTCGCTTCCTGGTGCTCTTTTGTCAGCCACTGGATTCTCACTATCAGAATCGGCCAACACACACTCAACACTGCACACACACACACAAAGAAAATTTAAGGAGCACGTTACAGCTGCAGTGTAACCATAAATAAAAAAAACATAACTGAATTGCCATGATGATGTAAGGTCATTTTATGATTAAACATACTGAAGAAGTGAGTTCTTGGTTCTCTGCAGAAGTTCCACCGTTTGTCGTTTTCCTGATGACACAGTGCAAGAGGCCAGCATCTGCTTCAGTTCACTCCCATTGGCTGAGTGAGACGGGCTTCTGGGCATGCCCACTTCAACAAATGTATCTGAGCCTGATACACAGATAAATAGTAGAATAACAGTATAATGCATTAATACTGTGCACAGTGAATTAGGGTTGCAGAAAATGTCATTACATGCCGACTGTACTGGGCAAACTATAAAGTTTGATAGAGGAGGGATAATGGTATGAGGCTGTTTCTCAGGGATTGGGCTAAGCCCCCTACTTTTGAGGGGACATGTTAATGCTTCAGAACATTTCAAAAAACATTTTGGACAATGCACTGCTTCCAAATTTGTGGGAACAATTTGGGGAAGGGCATGACTGTGCATAACTGTGCCCTAAATTATTGGATGGAATAAACTGACTGGGCCGCACAGAGCCCTGACCTCAACCCCTTCAAACACCTGGAACGGCGATTGAGAGCCAGGACGTCTTGTGCCTGACCTCACAAATGCTCTACTGGATGAATAGGCAAACATTTCCACAGAAACACTATAAAATCTTGTGGAAAGCCTTCCCAGAAAAGTGGAAGCTGTTATATTAAGGCCCTATGATTTCTGCGATGCGGAAAACACGGACGGAATCACGGAATCCAGTTATAAAATCAGAATTTTACTGTATAACGCAGAATGTCACGGATTTTGCAAAATTTTTGATGAATAAATCAAAAGTAGGTCAGTACACATAAATCAAAATATGGACTAGTGTTGGTGAATATTAAGCCGTAGAGTACTATTTAAATATGAATCCTGCATGTTCTGCAGGTCTCTGTGTGAATGAATGGCGCAGACGTTTTGTTTACTACACACATACTGAAGGGTGCATGACGCTTGCAGTGTTTTCAGCCACCTCTCTGCCACCTCAGTATATGAGTTCATGAACACATAAACAATCTCTAGAACTGCTCTGAGAGTCACTTCATGAGCATTTTACCATTTCTTTTGAGAAAAACTATCATCATATCATATAAACCGAGAAACTTCAAGCTTGGTTTAACTTGAAGAAACTGTGACATAACTATATTACTTAAAGTAATGACAGTACTAATACTAATTTAAATTTATTTTTATTAAAACATTATTTTAAAGGAATATTTACCAGAAAAAATATTTACCAGAATTTATTCAAAATGTAAATGCACAACACAATATTTCTGAAAACAAAGAAAGAATAAATAATTATTTTAAATTTAAATATAAAATCTATTATTTAGATATGCTTTTGATTATTAAAAAATTTAATGAAACCATTAAAATGGAATCCAGAAAATTTATCGAAATCACAGAATAAAAAAAAAATTTAAACGGAAAAAATGGAACTTGGAAAAAATTTAACCGAATATAGGAAAAAATTACATTTTTATTTAGAATGTGATGTCATTAAAGTATCTGTTCGTGCAATGTCAGGTGTGCCAATACTTTTGTCCATATCATGTATAAAAAGTTTGTTTTATACCTTCATCTGCAGATTTATTGGAAATGGATTCTGATTGGGAGTGTCCAATGACTTCCTGGGATGTGTCACAGTGGGCGGAGTTCAGCGATACAGAGGAGATTCGACTGTACATAGAACTGGCGAGCTGCAACATCCAGCAGAAACACACGCGGGAAGAATAATTAGTTTAAAATAAAACAGATGCACTCATTTTGGCATCGCTTTATCAGTAAAGGACACATGATACTGCCTTGATTTTGGACATAAAGACTTATCTTAAACGGCAGCATATTTTAATCTATAATGCCTAAAAATGTTGCCTACGTATGCAGTTTAGTAACTTTGATGAAGTTTCTCACATGTCCATTGAGATGTTCTGCACTGGCTGGTTTGTGTATTGGTGCGAGTCCAGGTGGAGGGGGCGGTGTGTGAGTGTGTGCTTGACTCTGGACCCCAGAGAGCAGAAGACCACCGAGAGTCGACTGAGACACTGACTGCAGCATCAAGTCTGTGGAGAACCCTGAGCCAGGGACAGAGTGAGAGGGTTATGTAACACACACATATAAAATATGTGGCTGAAAAGAGCACACACTCACCTGCTGTGTTAGCTGTTGAACTGAGTGCACTGGCCCAAAGTGAAGCTGTGTGACCAGTAACATGTGAATGTGTGTGAGCAGGTGTATGTGAGTGTGTATAAATGTGCTGTGAGTTGTTCACTGCTCCATTCTGAATGTTTAACACAGAGCCGTGCCCATTAAGAACACACTTTGGGTTCGGGGAACCATTAGGAATGGGGCTGACAGACGACCTTAGAAGACCAGCTGATAAAAAAGAGAAAAAATAAAGAGTGCAACGTAAATACCAAAAACATTTTTGTCCATAATGTGTTTACAGTTCAGTTATTATTAATTTATTTTGCTCCGATGTAACTTTCAAATCAGAGACAGCACAAGATATGTCGAGAGCCAACAATTAGCATACCAGTTAGACCCAGTGTTATTTTAGTATCATTGACTTTTTCTTTTTGTTAATATTTAGATTTTTTTTTGTAATTAATGGTTAAGTAATTTTGTTGTGTTTTTGTCATTTTTATATGCCTATATTAATTTTTATTTATGTGTTTTAGCTTATTTAATTTAATTTTAAACCTAAACTAAACAAAAATGATAAATGTTACATTTTCAAAAAGGTTTTATTTTTATTTTATCATTTTATTTCATTTCATTTCATGTTTATTTCCAGTAACAAAAAATGCTCTTTAGGTTTTATTTAATGATAATAAGCCTCATTGGACCTGATTGAAACATTTTTTGTAACATGATTTAACTAAATACCATTGTTATCTGACTTTATTATTGCTTTGATATGTTACATGCTGCTAAGCTAATAATTTGATACTCTTAATTGTATATTACACAAATGTTGGATGAAACAAATTATATATATATTATATATATACATATACACACACACAGGTTGATTTAAAATAATAACAATTATGCAATTTATTTTTAATATTTACTTATTTTTATCTTATCCATAAAGGCCGTGATGCAGGCTTGATTAGACTAAAATAGATTTATTACAAGGAAACATAATTTAACCTTCAATACCTAAAATTTACCTAGGTAAAAAACCTTGCTAGGTTTTGAAACAAAGCTATTGTTACCAGCAAGATTGTTAACTTTTAATCACTATTATGGCATGAATCCTTAATGTAACAGTACTGCAAATATGCACAATTTGTGCATGAGAGCAACAAGGCTTGTGTCTTGAGAACAACAGAGGGGACTGTTTTAAGTCACACTAATAGTGTGTGAGTGGATGTGGAACACAGGCAAACACACACACACACACACACACACACA